AATAATAGGGAAGATTAGAAAGCAAAGTCTCATCTACATCAAAAACCCACACATCTTTTCCATCAGCTCCCAAATCAAGAGTTTTAGCATAGTCTCCAGCCTCATCTGAAACCCTATCAATGTCCATCTTATACGCCCCTCCTTCAATGTATTGCCTCACGTAATCACCACATTCCTCTGGGATCGTCTTCCATGGACCTAAATTGTTAGTTTCAACAGCAAACCTCCAACTAGTACACTGTAATTGAACTTCATCCTTCAACTGATGGTGATGGGGTTCATTATTTTCAGGGTACTCGATAATCAACGGCCTAGGAAACACATGGGGATTGAGATTTTCATGTCCAGTGACCAAAGTTAACAGAACCAAGAAAGTGACAACTCTCAAAATTCTCATTCTCAAGAATCTGTGAATAATGGAATATGAAGAGATGCTTGCTGGTTTTTGGGGAACTGCGATAAAAAGAATTTCGAGACAGATACAAAAGGTGAAAGGGGAAGAATTCAGATTAAAAAGACCAATGCTTGCTAATTAAGTAATGGAGTCAATGGAGGGGGATAAAGAATATATAGGCGTAACAGGAATTCTGGTTAGGTGGGGATGACCAGCACCAGGCCAAAAAAATTGATTCATTATTCTACGGACGTTAAGTAGGTTATATTCCTTTGCTTTTTCCATTTTTGTCCCAAGTATCGTGCGTGTCCTTGCTTTGTTTTTTTAATTACACAAGTCTCGTGCTCCTTCAACTTTACTTTCCTTCCTCTACTTTAGGATCCCTTGTTATATTAATACTAATTCTAAGTTTAGTAGCTGCATTAAATAATAGAATATTTGTTTTCCTTTTAGTTTAGAATGTATAAAGAAAATATCATATTCTCATTAGTTTATTTCCTTTAAATAATCTATAAATAGTACTGTACTTCTTTTTATTTTTTAAATCATCAAATTTGTTACAATACAAAACAAACTGGATTGAATTGAATGAAAAACGTATTATCGATCTAGAATTAATTCTATCCAACATGTTTTGGAGGGTTAAAAGTCTCGAAAGAGTTTGGTAAAACTTCTTGTGTAGCATGTATCCCTTGAAATTAGTCGAGTTGCACAAGCTGGCCCAGACATCATGGTTATCAAAAAAGAAAAAAAGAAAAAAAGAACTTGTGTACGTATCCCACCCACTTGGCCACTTCATCATATTGGCACAATTAGTTGCTCTTCAATGTAGTCGCAAAGATTTCTCCATTCAAATGATGCTGCAATTTTGTTATACTTTTGGCGAGTTATTTGATTTGTTTCACCTCTAGACCTCATTACTGGCTTTATTCAGGAAAATTAAAAAAATAACACTAATAATCTAGAGAAAAGCAAACATCCAAAGAGTGACTTTCTTTGAGAGACCCTATGGGTTAGTTGTATTGGGGAAAATTATATTTATGTATATGGTGACGTGTCATGACGTATAGATTGGTCAAACAGTCAAAGAAATAAGGTTGGTTAACAGATACGAGCAACAACAGACACGAGCAACAACAGATACGAGCAAGTTAAATGAAGAAGGCACGGGCAGTCATACAAATAATTCAACGCTAGTACCTATTCAAGACATTCAAGGGTCAAAGATCGAGAAGAGACAAAGGAATGAATCTGACAGCAAAAAAGAGCCCAGATACAACATTTAATGAGTATTAAAAACTAGAAACGTTAGAGAATATGTATTTAATGTATATGATTGCATAACGTAACATTTAAGGTCATTAATTACCCATAATTGTCTTATTATGACAAAGGGAAAATCTGTATTCCCAAAACAGCTATAAAAGGAAAAGTCACAAACAATTGTGGGGACAAGAAAAACACTACTCGAATATACTTTGTTTTATTTGCTTTCTGATTATATTATTCAAAATCTCTTTCTTATATACTTTTCCGATTATCAGTAACCCGAGTTCTTCTAAATTCAAGCTTTGACCTAAAATCTAATTTTTGGTTAAACAAATTGGTTCCATTACCGGGAATTAGTTCTATAAATTCGTTTGCTGAGCTTGCAGATTTATTTATCAAAGCACACTCGGGAGCTCAAAAAGTTGAAAAGCGAATGGAAGATATCTTTAAAATCAAGCAGGGAGACTCAGAGTTGCTTAGAGAGTTCGTAGATAGATTTCAACGGGAAAGAATGACGATGCCACGAGTACCTGACAATTGGGCAGCCATAGCCTTTGCTAGTAATTTGAATGAGAAGAATTCAGAAGCCACGAGGCGACTCAAAGAAAGCCTTCGAGAATTCCCAGCAACAACGTGAAATGATGTCTACAACAGATACAGTACAAAGATGAGGTTTGAAGAAGACATTATTTTACGACATAAAACAGAAGAAAAGGTAAGCTCAAGGCGTGTGGAAAATGAAAAGAGATCCGGTAAAAACAGGTATGAGCCATACATGGGACCTGCGGGAAAGGACTCACGGTCAAGACAAGATAATCAAAGGTACGATCAAAAACCTAGGAACAGGGAATCAGGCTCCTCATCGAGGTTCGGAAATGACCGGAACACACGTGGGTCACGAGACGATGATAGAAGTCTAAAGGCAAGGTTCGGTGGTTACAACTTCAACGTAAGAACCTCTAAACTCGTGTCTGTTTTAAGAAGCATGGGAGAAAAGGTACGATGGCCAAAGGAAATGCGATCAAATCCGAACAGACGAAACCCTGATCATTGGTGCGAATTTCATAACGATCATGGGCATAAAACAACAGATTGCAGGTTTCTACAAGGTGAAGTTGATCATTTGTTAAAACAGGGGTATCTTACTGAGTTGTTCAGTGAGAAAGGTAAACAAGCATACATGAAGAACAGACAGGAGCCTCCAAAACCACCTTCGCCCAAGAGAACTGTCAACGTTATAAGCGGAGGTGAAGAGATCAATGATGTATCATATAAAAAGATTTCAAAAGTGACAATTACCCACGGGAAGCGGCCTCGACATGTACTGGAAGAAGAGAATATTATATTCAACAACGCAGACGCCGAGGGACTCATAACTCCGCATAACGACGCACAGGTAATATCTTTACTTGTACATGATACTAACGTGAAACGAGTTTTGGTTGATCCAGGTACTTCTGTAAACATTATTTTAATACGGGTATTGCGCGAGATGCAAGCGGAGGATAAATTAATTCCAAAGACGCATACTTTGTCGGGATTTGACAACTCTAGTGTTGTAACAAAAGGAGAGGCAATACTTACTACATTCGCAGAAGGCATCGTTAAAGATACCAAATTTCAAGTGGTAGATATGGAAATGGCTTACAATATGATTCTTGGGAGGCCATGGATTCATGACATGGAAGTTGTTCCTTCAACTTTACATCAAGTTATTAAATTCCCATCTCCATGGGGAATATGCCAAATCAGAGGCGATCAACAAACATCTAGAAGCATCAATTCCGTTGCAGATTCAACTGTTAAAGGTGAAGACAAATAGCAATTACAGAATTTAGGTGAGGGTAACACGGAGTCAACCTCACCTGAGCAAAAGCAAACAGATCTGGATTCGAGACCTGATACCATTCAAGAACCGGAGGAGAACGACAACATCAAAACAACGATAGAAGAGCTGGAGGCCGTGGTGTTATTTATACATTGGCCCGAGAGAAAGTGTATATAGGAGCTAATCTTAGCCCGGAGGTAAAACGTAAATTGATTGAATTTTTAAAGGCTAATGCAGATTGTTTTGCTTGGTCCCGTTCTGACATGACAGGGATACCACCGGAGGTCATGACCCATAAATTGAATGAAGATCCATCATATCCTCCCATCAAGCAAAAGAAAAGAAAGCAAGGAACTTTCAAGAACAAGGTGATTCAAGAAGAAGTTCAAAAATTATTAAAAATTGGTTCAATTCGTGAGGTAAAATATCCTAACTGGTTAGCTAATACTGTTGTGGTTCCTAAGAAGAACGGTAAGTGGCGAGTCTGTGTAGATTACACAGACCTTAATAAAGCCTGTCCAAAAGATTCCTTTCCTTTACCGCACATAGATCAGTTAATTGATGCTACTGCAGGGCATGAGCTATTAAGTTTTTTAGATGCATATTCA